ATTCCACTTGTATGAGGTATCTAGTCAAACTGAGAGACAGAAAGCAGAACAGAGGTGACCAGGAGTTGAGGGAAAGAGGAAATTGGGAGTTGTTTAATGGATATAGAGTTTCAGTTTTGCAAAATGAGAAATTTCTGGCGATTGGGGCACAACAGTGTGAATAGAACACACACTACTGAACTATACAGCAAAAACGGGTAAGATGGTAAACTTTATGTGTTTTTTAACACAATTTAAGAAAATAAAAAGATTTAAAAATGTACTGTTTTCAGAGAGCCTTATAAAGTATTCATAGAAAAGGAAGTGAATAACAGTCAAGAAAACTTGGGAATATTAATCAAAGGAAACTGGCCTAGCCACATACTAAGATATATTGTGAAACTGTAACAATTAAAATAGTGTAGTGATGAGTAGCTGCAACAATTCTGTCTGGGCAAGAATTTAGTATGATAAGGATGACATCACAATTTAGTGAGGAAAGGCTTTTATTTCAAACTAGAGGCTTGATGCCTGAAATTTGTGCAAGGGGCTAGGCCAGTGATGGCGAACCTTTTGAGCTCGGCGTGTCAGCATTTTGAAAAACCTTAACTTAACTCTGGTGCCGTGCCACATATAGAAATTTTTTGATATTTGCAACCATAGTAAAACAAAGATTTATATTTTTGATATTTATTTTATATATTTAAATGCCATTTAACAAAGAAAAATTAACCAAAAAAATGAGTTTGCATGTCACCTCTGACATGCATGACATAGGTTCGCCATCACTGGGCTAGGCCCTCGCAGCCCTGGCTTCATCCGGAAGGATGTCCTGAAGGTTGTTTGGCTCTCCAGTCTAATCAGCATATTAAGCTTTTATTATTATAGATAATGTGGGCTCAATTAATTAATTTGTGAGTTAATGTTTTGGCGTTAGGGAATCATCACAGTCATCTACCAATACACAATCTGGATACATTGAAGCAAAATTATTTTCATGTATCTCATTTCCCTCTATTATTTTTCTGCTTTCCTTATACTTTAAGATGATTTTGGCAGGCTTCCCTTTGAATTCTATTAACCAACTGGGTGACACTTAATAATGCTGCTTTTTAAAATTTAAAAAGTCTTGCAGAAAATCTGACAGTCAACAAATGCTAAGTACACCCTGTCTTAAGAAAAATCCATTTAACAAAAGAAATCACCTAAAATGGTAGGCTCTTCCTGGTACTGAAAAATATTTAACTTCCAAGTTTCATTCAATTCTATTTTATTAACTTTATCCGTCACCAGTGTGACCTTGGGATTGACACACACTATGCACCGCAGGCTGAAGGGCCTGTAATCACCAACATGCTTGGACCCTTCACGTCTGCGTATTTGCCAGTCACAAAAGGTTTCCATACATTACTTTCTGGACATTTCAAAATTTCCATTTTAAGTTAACATTTATTCCATGCCAAGTCAAGGGACTGTAAAAGGGAACACTGGACATACCGGGGTTTACAAAATACCTTTCATAGATGCTGTGGAGGCAGAACGACTCCCTAGGACAGTGATGGCGAACCTATGACACGCATGTCAGAGGTGACACGCGAACTCATTTTTTTGGTTGATTTTTCTTTGTTAAATGGCATTTAAATGTATAAAAGAAATATCAAAAATATAAGTCTTTGTTTTACTATGGTTGCAAATATCAAAAAATTTCTATGTGTGACACGGCACCAGAGTTAAGTTAGGGTTTTTCAAAATGCTGACACGCTGAGCTCAAAAGGTTCGCCATCACTGGCCTAGGATGTCGACACTCTAGTGCCCAGACCTGTGAACATGTCACCTGATGTGCAAAGGGACGTAGCCGATGTAATTAAAGTTAGAGACCTTCAGACAAGATGATCCTGGAGTATCCTCTCGGGTCCCATCTAATTACAGGAGCCATTAAAAGCAGAGAGCTTTCTCTGGGTGGGGGCAGAACAGATGCGGCCGGAGGGGAAGGCGGACACGTTGGAAGCGTGAGGAGGACTCACTGCACTTTGCTGGTTTGGAGATGAAGAACGCAGGCCCTGGCCTCTCCTCCGCTGGCCCCAGGCCGCCCACGAGGCCTCAGCCTGTTCTCCCCGCGTTGGGGCTACATCACCGTGGCACGGCCCCGGGGAACAGGGAAGAGCAAGAAACCGGAGAATGAGGAACGAGGAAATGAAGTGGACAGGCAAATGCAGTTCCTCAATTCAGTCCCCTTCATTCCAAAAGCCCTGGTGGCCACAGGGGCTCCTCACCAGGCAGGAGAGGCCTCTGAGATGCCCTCCCACCCTGCGGGCCTATCAGTCCAGTGCACACACACTCCTTTTTTGGTGTGTGTATGGGGGGACTCCCCTGGAGCCCCAGGTGAAATATAAAAATAGATGAACGCAGATACCAGAACCGGGACGCAGGCAGCAAGGAATGTCTGTGTCTTACAACCGCAAGCCACAGTTCTCGCCAGCCCGAGTGACCCTGGGGCAGGCTTCTCCTAGAGCCAGGCTGGCTGACACTGTCCTTTCAGCCCCAGACCGGAGCAGTGACAGCCCAGCCCACGGGCCTTCTGACCCACAGAAGTGTGAGATAATAACTTGGCTACGTTTCTGGCAGTTTGTTATTGCAGCAATGGAAAACACATACAGAGAGTGAATTCTTTCCTCATTTAATCTAAACCAAAAAATAAAAATAAAGATACTGCCATGGATAATTAGGAGGACAGATTTATGACTGTCCTCTTTTTTAATTTAGCTGGACTCATGAGTCAGTTTCTACGTCAAGTGGTGGAAATGGTTCTGGCCCAAGATGCATACTTGGTACAAGAAGGTTAAGACTAGTTTCTACTAACTAGTTAATCCATGTAAAATTCAGGAACTGACAATGTTTTCGGAAAGATTATGTTCCAAGGAATGACTAAGATCCAACTTCAAAGAGTAAACGGATTAAAAACATTTCCTTAGCCTAGTCCCATGATGCTTAAAAAAACACACAAAAATACTGACAAAGAAGAATATTTGATATTTTTTCTCATATTCCCATGATCCTCCCCCTTTCATTTGGTCGCCCTACTCCAATAATAAAAGCTAGAATCCAGCAGTGCACTAAGTACAAGAAAAAAATACAGACATAGGTATTTGGCACAAACAGAAGGGAGATCAGATGACCTCTTCATGCTATTTCAGTATTGACACCACCACTGATAAAACTGCCTAATTAAAATCCCACTCGATGGTAAATATTTACTTACAGAACTCCTTATAGTGACAGGCCCTGTTGTAGACACTGGCGACAGTAAGATGCTATTAAGAAACTCAGTCTAGTGCAGCGGTTCTCAACCTGTGGGTCGCGACCCCTTTGGGGGGGGGGTCAAACGACCCTTTCACAGGGGTCGCCTAAGACCATCAGAAAACACATATATAATTACATATTGTTTTGTGATTAATCACTATGCTTTAATTATGTTCAATTTGTGACAATGAAATTGGGAGTCACCACATGAGGAACTGTGTTAAAGGGTCGGGGCATTAGGAAGGGTGAGAACCACTGGTCTAGTGGGATCACAGAATCACAAAACATGCAGTGATCGAGATAGAAAGTACACCTAGGACAGAGAAGTTTACCCACGTCTGATGAAGAAAGGCTAAGCTACAGCCAGGAGCAGGAGGTTGCAGCTGATCATTTTTGAAACAGGACATTTCAGACAGCAGGACTAGCATGTACAAAGGTACTGAGGTGTGCACTCGTTCAGAACAGCTTGCCTGGAAAACTGAAAAATTTCATTGTGTGAGCATAAAGTGTACAGGGTGTGTGGGAACTGTGGGGGGTTGGTAAGTAGTTACATCATAAGTCAGGTAGGTGTTACATCATAAAGGGCATTGGACTGTATCCTGTAGGTGAATTTTAAGCACAAGAATGACACACAATCACTTATGGTTCAGAAGGATCCCTTGGGTAACAGAGGGAAGATGTGTTAAGACGAAGTAATACCAAAAAATGACACTAGTAAGAAGGCTATTATATTACGCAGAGATAATTTGAACTTGAGAAGCAACAGTGGAAATGATCAGGTAACCACTTGAAAGAATACTCAGAGGCAGTCCAGCTTCGAGGCCACCATCTTAGAGGAATGGCTGGGGAGGAGAGAGGATGGGGGCGGAATAAAAAAAAAAGAATACTCAGAAAATAAAGTACGTGATGGACATCATAGGTCCCGGCTAACTGCCTTTCCAGCTCCCTGCCTTCCTCCCCAGAACTGGGGAAAGCTAGAGAGCCAGGCGACCCGTCCTGCTTCCTCCGTCCCACGCGACAGCTGTGGACCGTCTCTGGGAGAGCCCTGCCTATGGAAAGGAGAGGTGCAGGCAGAGAGGCCCCTCACCTGTCTGCCTTCACATCCCGCTGCACAGGGCTGGTATCTGTGGGGCTACGAGCGTCATTTTACAACAGCAGAGTGGAAGGTGGTAGTCCTGGTCCTGGATGACACGCGAGCTGCTGACCTAGCCCAGGATCTGTTTACTTGTGGACTTAAGATCATTATCCTTCCAGTTTAAGCCACCGATTATCAAGCTGTTACTTTCAGACAAAATCAACCAAAGCAAAACCGAGACAGGGCCTGGTGACTTAACTGATTGTTTATTTGCAATAGAGAGGAACTTAGTTTTATTCCCAGGGTTCTGGCTTGGGAAACTAAGCTAGTCACAGAAATAAAATTACAACAGAGAGGTTTGGGGGTGCTGGAGCAAAGGGGAAGGGTCTAAGGCGAGAAAGGTGGGGAGGGAAAAGGCTGTTACTGAACATATTGCTCCAGAGATTATGGAATCATTCAGGCGAAGGGTATGTTCAGATGAGCCTGGAACACATGCAGAAAGCCTGCCTTTGACCTGCTGAGGTGTGGGAGTCAGATCCTATCACACCTGCAGGACCTCACACTCTCCTGTGAGGTCTCTAATGGAGGCCCGGGTGGTGAGGCGACTGGGGGTGGGGGGCAAAAGAATGGAGAGCAGACCAAAATGTCCTTATTTGAAGAGTTCTAGAAAGTGTGTTTATTTTCTATTAAGACTTTGAAGATGTACAGATACTATTTAAAAACAGGAAGAATATCAATAAAAATATATTAAAAAATAAAAACAGGAAGAACATTGTTTATTGACAACCTACAAACATCACCACAGGACTGCCTATGCTTATTTTATAAAAAGTCATTAGTAGCCACGAAAATATGAAAAGCACATAATCGGGAACTACGACAAATGAAGAGTCTGTGTTTGAGCGACTACACCCGAGACTGTCCCAGCAACTGACATTGATCTGAATCACCCGCTTTACAATGTAGGCCAGTCAACCGGGAGTATGTGAATCGCCTCATTCCCAAGACTCAGAAAATAACTCCAGGACATGTTTTATTGGTGGCAGGTTACCCCAAAGTACAAAGAGAAACATAATCACTGAGAAGGTGGCAAGCAATCGTTTACAGCCCGTGTAGGAGGCGGTGAGCTCAGGAGGCTGACGCTCCTCCTCCAGAGAGGAAGGTAATACAGGTGATCCTCAGACGCCTGCGCACGGGCCGAGCTACAGGAGGAAAGAAAGACCAGCAGCTCCCAATCTGGCCAACAGGAGCAGGTGACAGTCTCACAGACAAGAAGCCCCTAGACCAGCCGTGGGCAAACTACGGCCCGGCCCGTTTGAAACGAATAAAACTAAAAAAAAAAAAAAAAGACCGTACCCTTTTATGTCATGATGTTTACTTTGAATTTATATTAGTTCACACAAACACTCCATCCATGCTTTTGTTCCGGCCCTCCGGTCCAGTTTAAGAACCCATTGTGGCCCTCGAGTCAAAAAGTTTGCCCACCTCTGCTAGACACAGTGATTACTAGCGCCCGTTTACAACAGAAGACGGCATCCTCACCAACGGGTCCACGGGAGCAGGGAGCGCTACCAGCGATAAAGGATATGCCCTGGACACCCAGCAAAAAGGCCTCCAAATCCAATACGGACTGGGGCAGCGCGAGTACAATAGACACAGATGTGTACCTAACCCATTGGTCTTAATTCTAAAGCCAACTCTGATCATGCTGCCCGACTACAACTTTAAGTGGGTCCCCCTGGTTCACAGACCCGCCCCCCCCCTTCATCCCAGCCCCAAACTAAGAAAAGTTCTAATCAAACTTTCTCCTTTCATGTACCTACACTTGTTATTCTGGACCAACTGCTATTTCCCAAACCAACCTGTGCTTCCTGCTCCTGCATTTCCCCAGCCTCCAGGTCCCCCGTACCTTTCAGCGTTTCCTGATCCTGCAGCCTCGGGGAGCCCCTCCTGAACTTCTTGTTATAACAGCTCTTATCCAAGTCGTGCTGCTCTATTCTGAATTGTCACTACTACTGTACCTCTTCTGTGATATTCTGAATTCCTTAAAAAAGGACAACTGATGCATTTTTGTGACTTCTATAGGGTCACACTTGCTAACGGAAGATTGCTGACTTAGTGACATAAAACCATCACAAGCGGAAGCCCCCCAAAGAACACACAAAAGCAAGTTTACTGGAAGCCTAACAATTCAACTCTCGACCATTTTGGTAAGCAGTCATCTGCTGCTTCTCCTGTGGACAGGGCAGAGCAATCTATAAGAAATGAAAACTGGGGATCAGCAGAGAAGAGGATGCATCAGGCTGCGCCTGCAACTCCCAGCCCCTCCCTGGCTCTAGTCACCTGGGCAGGCTTCACTCACCCTTGGCTCTACCTGCTTCCTCTGCACAAAGGTGACGTGAGGAACAAGCTCTTTGTTGATCAGTTCACAGTAGTAATCTCTTAGACTGTTCCTCCCTTTAAAATACAGTGGTTTCGGCCCTAGCGGGTTTGGCTCAGTGGCTAGAGCCCCGGTCTGTGTCCTGAAGGGTCCTGGGTTCGATTCCGGTCAAGGGCACATGCGTGGGGCGTGCAGGGGCAGCCAATCAATGATTCTCCCTCCTCACTGATGTTTCTCTCTCTATCCCTCTCCCTTCCTCTCCGAAATCAATGAGAACAATACACACACACACACACACACACACACACACACACACATAGATACCTACTAAGCGCCAAGGGTAGGTCATGAAGAAGAAAAAAAAGTTTAAATCTAGAGAGTTATTTCTTAACCAGTGACACAGGCCAAACCCCGACACGGGCCGTTTCCCCAGGATCTCCGGTTCCGATTCCCTTCCCTGTAATCGTGGGATCATGTCCCGCGCTTCTCGGCACGTCAGCCTCCGGGGCCCTCCGTGAACTCAACGGAGACCCCCTCGGGTCCCGGGCCCGCCCTGCGCCGCTCCCGGGGCGGGGGGGGGGGGGGGGGGGCGGCGGAGGTGGGCCGCCTCCCTTCCCCCCAGGATGTGACTCGCAGGCGGTGCCAGGGAAGGAGAAGTTCACACCTGCGGCTGGAACCCAGACGTCTGGCCTCGAGGGCTTCGGTTCCGGTTCCGTCAGCCAACCCAAGTAACGAGGGGACTTCCACGGGCGCACGCGCAGCGGACCTCAGTGACCTCAGGAGAACCAAGCCCGCGTCCCACGGCGCCCATCGCGCCCCCCGGGGCCTCCAGCGCACATCCCAGGCCCGCGGGCCGAGCGCGTCCAGAAGGCCGAGCGCGCGGGCTCCCCAAGGGGGGTGACCCGACGGGCGCTCCCCGCCCCCCGCCCGCCCGGGGTCAGCGAGGCACCTGTGGCACCCGGGACCGTGGCCTCCAAAGAGCTCAGCGGGGCCGCCGTCTCCTCACCGTTAGCCCCGGGCAGCTCCGCCGGGCAGCTCGGGGGAGACCGGCTCGGACCCCGACGGCGGGGACTGCCGGGCTGTCGGCGGGGCTGCGAGTTCTGAAGACGTGGACGTGGGGAGGGAGAGGTGGGGCCCGGCCGACCCGGGGAGCCGGCGACCGAGGGGGGGCCCTGCGGTGCGAGTCGGGGTCGGACCCGCGACGGGAGCTCTGCAGGAAGGACATGCCCCTCGGCCAGGTGCCGGGCCCGGGGCCGGGGTCCGAGCCGGGCGGGGGCCGGGAGGGAGAGACATTCACGTCGACCCGAGCCTGGGCCGAAGCCTCGAGGGTGAGAGGAGCCCCCCTCCCCTCCACTCCCCTCCCCCACCCGGGAGCAAGCGGGGGGCCGGGGGCCGAGCCGCGCGGGGAGCGGGCCGGCCGCACTCACCATGTCGTACACGTTGAGCACCACCAACTGGTTGGCCCCCATCCTCCTGCCCGCGGCCGCCGCCTCGCCCCCCAGCCGCTCGGTCTCCGCGGGGCCGAGGCCGCTCCGCCCCGCCCCGCGGCCGCCTCAGGGCCGGAGCCGGGCCCTAAGCGCGCAGCCCGGCCCGCGGCAGCCGGCGCTGGAGCATCGGGAGGCCGGGCCGCTCCAGGGCGCCGCGGACAAGACCTCCGTGCCGACGGGGCCAACTGCTGGCTGCCCGCTCGGGCTCAGGCGCCTCCCCCGGGCGGCAGACACGTGGGGGAGGGCGGGGCCAGGCGAGGGGCGGGCGCCGGGAGCTCCGAGGGCGGAGCCGGCCCGGCGCCCGAGCTGAGCCCGCCTGCGCTTCTCTTTCCGCAGCCGCACCTCGGACCTAAAATGGCGCAGCCGCCGCGTTCCCTCCACCTCGGGGAGCGGAGTTCCGGGAAAACTACAGTTACCAGCATGCAGTGGGGTTCACCCGCTGCGTGCGTAGGCGCGGAGGCGGAGTCTCAACAATTACGGCCCTTCGTCGAGGTGTTCTTTCCAGGCCTTGACTACAACTTCCAGCATGCTGCGCGGGTCCCGACCCTATCAGACTAGGGCTTCTCTGGAGACTACAGTTCCCAGCATGCAGTGCTTGGGAATCTGCGAATGATCTTTTGCGGCCCGCCCTTGGCTGCCGGGTGAGGTCCTCGATATTCGAACCGTTTTCATTGGTTCTGCTGATGATGGTTTTGTCGCGTTGAGCCTGGTGAAGATAACGAAATGTGGCAAAAGACCGCAGCAATGACCTTGTTTTCCAAATCCCATTTTTTTTTTTTTTTCAAGGGGCGGGGGTGGGGAATAGAGGAAGGCGGGTTTCTGGTGGTGGGTGAGGTGTAACATACATCCAGCTAATCCTCAATGTGGAATTTTACGTTTTATGAAATTGTCCTGACGAAATGAGACTCAGGTTAGCCCAAGCCTAGCACACAGTTGGTGCTTTTTGCATGCATTTAACAACTATTTGTTGCGTCTGCCATGTGCCGGGCCGTGTTGTAGGCCCGGGAAAATACAGTAATAAACAGGAAGGAGGACAAAATATTGGTGGTTTGTGCTTTGCAGAGAATTAGAATAGGATGAACTGATTGAGTGGCTGCAGCGTGAAGGTCTCTTGCCAAGGTGAGTTTTAAGGTGAGATCTGAATGACAAAAAGAGCCGCCCTATAAATATCAGGGGACAAGTATCCCATTAATAGGAAACCACAAATCTAATTGATTCAACTAATTAGGAAGCGGTTCCATAAGTGCACGCTAAAAGGTAGTTTGGATATGGGGAGTAGTCAGGAACACAGAAAATTAGAGAGCGTTGGAATATCTTGGAAGTAGTCTACAAGCCTTGGGTTGGGTGTTGAGTTTTTTAGGGAGGGAACATTCAAGCATAACTTCTAGATTTTCAACTTGGGAAATTGTGAGGACGGTGGTGCCATTTATAAGATGTGAAAATTGGGAAGAACAGGTTGGTAGGAGGGAAGTCAAGAGTTATGGTTTGGTCATGTTAAGTTGGAGGTGCCATTTATTTTTTTGTTATCTTCACCCAACGAAATTTTTCCATTGATTTTTAGAGAGTGGAAAAGAGAGGGAAAGACAGAGAGAAATATCGATGTGAGAGAAACACATCGATCGGTTGCCTCCTGCACACGCACTGACCAGGGCTGAGGCCAGGGAGGAGCCTGCAACCAAGGAATGTGCTCTTGGCCAGAATTGGAACTTTCAGTCCGCTCTATCCACTGAGCCAAACCGGCTAGGGCTGGAGGTGCCTTTAGACATCATTTCCAGGTCAAGTAGAGGAGGAAGAGGAACCGTGTGGCTGGAGAACATGGTAACACAAAAGCCACAAGACGGTTAGATTTAACAATATGAAGGTTACTGGTAGCCTTGACAGGAGCAGTCTCCGGGGAGGAGTGAGGTCCAAAGAACATCTAGAATGGTTTGAGGAGTGAATCTAAGGTGAAGAAATGGAGACTGTAGCGGCTAGGGCACAAATGGGATCGGGCTGTGGTCAGTGGAGGACATTGTAAAGATGAGAATACTAAGGTATACTTGTATGTAAAGAGAGAAATTGGTGATCTGGGAGAGAGGGCGAGGTTTCGAAGGGCCAGGAAAGGAGAAGAGATCATCCAGTGCACAAGTGGAAGGAAGTGGAGGGGTTGGCCATTAGTAGGAGGGCTGCTTCACCCATAGTGACAGCATATAAGGTAGATACAGGTGCATAGTGATGGCCTAGAAGCTATAGAGACAAATGGAAGCCAGTTAGAAATTTGGGGATGGGGAAATGAGGGTTTCTTTTCGGATTTGCTTTTTCTCCATGAATAAGAGACAAGGTGATCATGGAGAGTCAGAGGGGGGAGAGGTGGAGTGGAAGGAATTTGAAGAGAGAAGAAGGTATAAAATAGGGAAAACAAATATACTAGGAAAAGAGGGTTGAATTCCAGGCAGTGTTGAGTGGCAGTATGTGCTGTACGCATGACTGTTAATTGACTGTCCTAAAGTTGTGGACAAACTTTTTAAATTGTCGGCCAGCTGCGGAGAAAACATTGCTGGGATTCAGAGAATGACGGTGCTTTTTGTCTTAGATGTCTCCAGTTATGAAGTGACTTTTTTAGCTTGTTGGTATGGCAGTGAAATGTAGTTGATCTCTGACCAATCTTTGACTGCAGGGGTTGCAGTCACTGTCCAAGTAGGCACTGCAACTCTGTATCTGGAGTGGATATCACCTTGGCAGAGGTATGTAATTTTCCCTGGCTAAGTTCAACATAGCTTACCTGTCAATCCTGTGTTTCATGTGTCTGCAGGAGAATTATTCCATGTTGGTGCTAAGGTAAAGATCATCCTTGTTGAAATTTGGGTCATTAGCTGCCCCATTGCATATATATGTATTGATTTTATATATATATATATATAATCAGCTGCCTCCTGCATGCCCCGCTACTGGGGATTGAGCCCACAACCAGGGCATGTGCTCATGACTGGAATGGAACTGGGACCCTTCAGTCCACTGGCTGACAATCTAGCCACTGAGCCAAACCGGCCAAGGCCTGTTTCATTCTTAATTGGTACAATGGGAGCTGGGGCCCAAACCCTGTGAGCAGACCAGACAGGAACTTGGTTTGCTGTTGGTTATCTGGATGAGGATGTTTACCAGGGGAATTCCATAGGATCAGCAGGTAATGGAATGTTGTTGACCCTGTGAGTGTGAACTGTTTCTGATCTTCCTTTCACATGGGACAGTCTTGCTCATAATCATTTATCTAAAACACCTTGCCGAGACCGGTGTGGCTCAGTGGATAGAGCATCGGCCTGTGGACTGAAAGGTCCCAGGTTCGATTCCGGTCAAGGGCATGTACCTGGGTTGCGGGCACATCCCCAGTAGGAGATGTGCAGGAGGCAGCTGATCGATGTTTCTCTCTCATCGATGTTTCTAGCTCTCAATCTCTCTCCCTTCCTCTCTGTAAAAAATCAATAAAATATATTTAAAAAATAAATAAATAAAACACCTAAACAAAATAGGAGCAAATGAAACTCATCAATATATTAAAAAATAATACATCCAGACCAGTTTTTGAGATAGTTCATACCTAAGATGACTTAGCTCTAAGGAACCCAAGCTACCTTGGTACTCTGCTCAATGGCCATGAAGCACAGGCCAAATTCCTTTGTGGCAGACTTCCTGTGAAAACTATCTTCAGGGCCTAGCCAATGACTCTTGTATTGAGCAACTTTTGCTAATAAATTCCGTGTCAAGAAGGAAATACCAGTTGTTTATTTTTTATTTCATTTCCCTTGCCTTTGGGATTCAAATTCACAAAACCACCACTGAAGATCAAGGTCTACAAGTTTAGTGCCCATGTTTTCTTGTCTATATCTTACTGTTTCAGTCAAACATTTGTGGACAAAAAGGGGCCACATGCTAATTGACTAACATGGGGGGGCCCTGCATGGTGGCTTTGCAAACTCAGGGACCTACAGTTACCACAAAGGATGGTCTGAAAAGCAGTCTAATGGTGGGTAGTCATGTCCTAGACAGGTATCTTCCCTGACAAAGATCAACTTTGACCTTGACTGAGCCTATTGTCTTTTTGCATCTAGGA